TATAAGAAGATTTCTGTTCTGAAAATGGTTAATAATAGTCTCCACTCCCTAATTTAAAATTTTCCATCACAAATATAGCAACAAAATCCAAATAAAAACTTTTACAAAGAATTATACAAAAAAAGAACTTATTTATGGCCTGCACTGACTGTCTCAAAACATTTCAAACTTCAAATCATGCCATTGAAGATGAAAAAAAATAAGATAAACCTGTTAGAATTTGTCATCTTTCAAAAAATTGTTCATCAACGAATAATGAAAAAGCCTTTTTATAAACATTTATGTGATGAGAATCATACTTGATCTCCCTGAAGCTTGCTAGTCTGTGACAAGTATAGCAAAATAATTAATAGACCAATAGGATGGGTAGTTTTCATTTTCTGCTATGCAAATTCCATTTTTATTTTTATTACGCAATCATGAAAATGGCTCTCTCCATGTGACGGCCATAAAAGTTTTGTGTACACGCAGCGTTACGCCATTGGAAAATGCAACAAATGTCAGAGTTTGACGGCCGATGGCTTGACAGATATGATAACCAATCAGTACAGCAAATTGACAAAAACCGTGGCTCTATGCTAATCCAAAGTCCGCTTTAGTCTCCGACAATGCGATTTATGGCCAAAATATGCCACTCTTTCTCATTGGGTTCTATTATTTAGTGATGCTTTTCCATCAAAACGGAGATTTACATCCCCGATATTTTACATCACAATGGATTAGTTAGTCATCATTTTGTAGTCAATTAAAAAAAATTACATCAGAAATTTTAGAAAACCGGATATGATTAAGTGGAGAGTCGTCTTTTCTTTATGTTTCAAATCTCTCCATTAAGCACGATTATAACAGCTTCTTGATTCTAATTCAGTGACCATTATTAACATTTATAACTGATCCGCTATCTTAAAATTGCATTTCTTTTCCCTGATTTTGAAGATGAAACAGTTGCGCAGAGAAATTTATATGCCATCTTGAAATGTTCACTTCACTATCTGCATCATCGATCTAGGATAAAGGTCTATATACATTTACGTTGCTACATTTTTGCCCCCATAAAACAATTTTTACTGAGGAGAATTATGCTAACATGTGTCGGACCGCTGAGGGACGTTATGGGTTAATTTCTGTCTGTGATGTCATAACGAAATCCCCCGAGATTCCATCTATCTTAACTTTTGCGGGCAAAGAGAAAGGCTAGACCGATTATTGCATTAGATTATTCTTTTTCAGAGACGGCATATGGGACTTATTTGGATGAATCTGTGATACTCTTCTCAACTACGTTTAAAATCTTTGCATATTAACAAAGCAGTAGGATGTGATGTGTGAAAACTATGTTAATAAATGGAGAATTTGATAGACAGACACATAAACCCTTACAGTATGACATAACACATGGGCATTAAAAGTCAATTAAAGCAAAAAACATTATCTTCTGGTGTATCAAAAACCTGCACCATAATCGTGCATATTTTTGGAATGAGAGCTTGAAAACATAAAAACTTGTTTACATCTGTTCAAAATACGACAACACAAACTTTGTAAGATTAAACATGGAATTTTTCCCAAAATAGATCTGTCTAAGAGTTTTCCTTTAGATTATAACTTTCTGGAACTTTTCAGTCTTTGACCTATAGGTCATGACCTTGAACTGGTGCTCATACTAGAATTTTCTCTGCTGTGATTTCAACGGGGGAAAAAGCATTTCAGATTCCTAGACAAAAGACAATGTTTCTAGATTACTAATCACTAAGTAGACAATTAATGTCATTAGTAAAGTCATCATACATCAGCGTAATAGACAGAAGATGGAAGATTACCGAGAAAGTAAATCCTGCTAGTAATGTTAAGTTGTGCACTAAATAAAAAACGAGACTGACAGAGAGATAAATAGATATATATTACAACAGAATTAAGATGGAAATTAGTTCTGACAAAACATTGCATGTATGTCTTACTCAGAGCTCATCCTCGTATAAAGACAAATGTATGATGATGGGAAAAGTCTAAAACATAGGGTAATGTTCTGCGAGAAGTACATTAGTATCTTATCATGGTAGTATTATGTCTACCGTTATTGAAGATCCTTTTGCATGAAGAAGTGAAACAATAAAGACTTGCCAGCAAAAAAATACATCGAGACGCCATTTATTATATTTTTTGGCAAAGAATTTATGTAAAATGCAGACTTGGAGTCTTATAAGGGAAAAAGAGTTGCGCTTTTAATGTTATTTTTTTCTTTCTAGGAAACCCAATTAAACAGACAGGAAAGCCTGATTTATTCATGGTCTGCTTATAAATGGCCTTTGAAAGACAATTTACCCAGATTTCTGAATAACAGTCACTGCATATAGAGACCGATAAAAATATCTGAGAGAATAAGCCCCAAGGCGAGTTACACAACGTAACGCAATTGCATATTAGATGTACCTTTGTTATATTTTTCGTCTCATCTGCAGCTGAAGTCGTGCGTGCACTTTTCCTCTCGTTTAATTTTTTTTTTCTGATCATTGTTATATTTAGCTTGAAGAAGCCAAGTCATGCCGAGAGAGACAGAGGAGTGGGGTTTTTGATATATGAAGATGAACATCTTGGCCGATTTTTTTTCTTTAATCAAAGACTTAAACATTTAAGGCTTGCACAATAAAGAAAAACATGGTGCAGGCTCTGCTTATATATCATTGTGAGCTAGCTGGCAGGTGCTTGCTGTCAGCTTTTTTTTTTTTTTTGGCAAAAGCAGCCAAAATACGCTTATAGGCTTAAGTCACATATTTTGAAAAAAGAAATGAAAAAAAAATTAAGGCTCTGGATATCAATTTAAATGCTTCTTGGACAAAATTCTATGGCTAAGGGATCTAGCACAGATGGAACATGGTACATGAATTAAACAGAGATTTTTGCCATTCACAGTGCACTTAAATGCAATGAAAGACATTTTATTATTTTCTCTTTCTTTCCGTCTTTAAAAAAATATTACAATTAGATCGATGGATGCACACAAACATATACACAAAATCTGCCAGTTCTGTTCCATGTAAAAAAAACTTGACAAATGAACAGGATTAGGGAGGTATTCATGAAAAAAGGGGAAATGACTCACAAGTTTGTTTCTTTAATCATGTAAAAGTATGTTACCCTCTGGAACATTCCAAGCGGTGTAACAGATTTTGAGCAGCTTTCAGCCAATCAATATATAATATTCTCCTCATCATAAATAAATTTTCAAGACTGTGGAAAGTAATTGGCATGCACAAACAACATAAGAAACGTGAATAAAAAAGAAATTTCGACGGCAATAACTGAAGGAGAAATGATACTTTATTGCCGCCTTGTTATTTGGCAGTGAAAATTGCGACAAACAGAGCTCTTCTGTTTTCCCTGTACCATAAAAGTAATGGAGAAAAACAAGAACGATAATATCATTTCAAATGGTTATCAAAAAAAGTCAAAAAATCCCTTTTCAACATTTTTTTTTCTTCCCAATTTGCTTTGCTTCTTTAAATATATCATATCCTAAATTTTCAAACAAATTCTGTAGTCGACTATCAATAGAAAAAGTTAAAAAATAATTTAGCTTCACATTTTCAAGCATTTTATGAAAATGATTAGTTGAATCTGTCAACAAGCCTGCCCATAACAATTTTTTTCCTGACATAACATTTGTCAATGGGGAATTTTTCTACAGCCAAGAACTGTTTATTTTCCATTAATATTGTGATGTCATAATTTTTCTCTTAAAAAATAAAAAAAAAACCCAGACAGTTATTTTTTAAATGCTGTGCATCCATCTCCAAGATGCATGCATTGCACATGATTAATGCAATGCACACTTGAACGCTTTAGTCTATCCTCAGGAAAAATTCACACAAAATATTATATTTAGTTGGCAAACACATTTTATTATTTGCCGGAATAAGAATCAATACCTCTTGTCTTTTCGAATACAAACTAATTCAATAGATGCCTTGATCCTTACAATATTAGTTTAGCAGATCCATTAATTGCATCTCTTAAACTATTCTCAACTTTATATATGTCTCAGGCAAACAATATATTTTTAACGTGTTCTCACCAATTTCTAAGTCAGACTGCATGCTTTTACCAATGCAAAAAGATTCTAATACATTATAATATCTTTTCTATGAGCCCTATGAAAAACTCCTCAACACAATTATTCAGAGAATAACTCAGTTATAAGATTAAGAAAGTTGAAAAATTCTGACATATTTTTATTTCACCAGTTACAAAAGCATGCTGACCCAGAAAAACCCCTCATTATGTAATCAATTAGAAGTAGGAAAATAAAGGCCTCAGACACATCAATTAATCCTGACAAAGGTTTAGTGGAATCTGGAGCAAAATAGTTAACATAGCCGCGTAATTGGGAAAAGGCATCAATCCCTGGTCTCAGCAAGCTTCAAAGTGTCTCAAACAGCGCCCCCTTATCTTCTAATGAAATCCTCTGCCAAAACGCAATCATGGGCCCCATATACTCAATTAATCTTTTTTACTAGAGAGTTATAAATCAAGGGGAATAACTTACAGAAATTTAGTTGAGGAGAAAGAAATCTTTATACCGGGGCTAAATAGGATTAAGAACCACAAGTCCCTTGCTAAACCAACATTTAAATAACTTGTTTAAGTGGATTATCCAAATTGCAGCTTGATATAAATGGATTAGCTGTGTTTAAAATCAAGTCTATGGTCTGTGAAATATCTTAAACAGCTCTTTTTAATTTGATATATTGGTGCAATTTCTTGCACTGATGTATAGTTAGATTTGATTAAAAAAAAATTTAAAGCCAATCAAAAAGAAGACTAATGGAGATGCTATATGCTGATGTCTCCACATTTCTTTGCAAAATAGTGCAATAAAATTTTTAAAAAATCACTATGCAAAATTATTATATTTTTAAAAGCTGGGCTTAACATAAAGTTCATCAAAAACGATTCATTGATCTTTATTTGCTAATCAATTGCTGACAAAAAGAGTTACCTACCTTGATGGAGTCGAAGCACGCCGTCACACGGCCATTTTGAACTTCCACGTGAGGTGGGGGATGTGCAAATTTACACTCTGTGTCCGTGCGTGTGCATTTGTTGCGCTGGTACTCTCGGCAGACCTCTAGAGTCAGCCAGCGCGAGTCCTTCACGTTACTTCCGATTGCTAACAAACTGTTTACCATGGCCATTACAAGAAGTCACACCGCAATGAAAGACTTGTGGGTTTCTTATAAAACAGACACACAAACAAAATCCGGTACACGAATAAAATGTAAAACGTCAGTGAATAAAAAATGAGAGAAAATAGAATATGTCGTCTAGTATGAGGATTTTTAAAATCTCGATTGCAATTAACAAGGGAAAAAACTAAAATATAAACCACTAATAATCAATAAGTGTAAAAAACATCCAAAATGTTGTGCACTATTGAAGAATGGCGTTGAGCTGGGTTGAAAGTTCTCTTAGAGTTGTATTTCTTCCAAACTTCACTGAATAATCTGCAAAAGAAAAAATATAAAAATAAACTGACAAATTCATTATACTGAGCTAACAAGTCAAACAGGCTTAAATGACAAATTACTGCGACAAGCACACTTCTCGGTTAACATGGCAACTGTGATATATAAACAAGTTCAATTTTCCCTTAAAATCTTGCTTCTGTTTAACATCATAAAATGTAAAACTACTCATGCTATTCCAGACTGATTTGCTATTACCTCCTTCAAAATAAAATAAAAGCCAGGTTTAAAATTGAAAGTGAAATAAAAATCTCGCGTTTGAAATTAAGCAGGCCTTAGGTAGCCATTTTAAAAATGAAAGTGAGGCCCTTGGCCCACTGTTCATCACTTTCAATTGCACCAACTCCTGCTGGCTCTAGCTTTATCATATCAAGGGTTTGATAAACTGTCAGAACATTGAAACAAATACATTCATTTTCATAAAGCGTTGGAAGGAAAAATGTCAGCTCATTTAATGGCGGGGAATAATTTTCAGTGAAAAACATGTCAGACGTCTAGGAAAGTTCCAGCTGTTTTCAGTATGTTAACAACCGAAACTGAATCATACACTTCAAAAAACAAAACTTGTAAAATTATCTCACAATTGGAAGAATTTTTCTTCTCCGATTTCGATGGCTGCCAGACAAGAAAGAAAAAAATGGAGGAGAAAAAAAATGACCTTAGTCACCACTAATCACCTGCAAAAAAATGGAAATTCTTCACATGTACAATCACAACTCCAAAGTCACTTTGAGTGAAATATACTCCACAGGGAACTAATATTCCAAAGAATCAGGGAAGAACAATGATGCAGAAAGTCCCCACTCTGAGAAGAAACAGCATTTTTACCCTGCTTGGGGAACATCCATGTCACATCTTAGACTCATCAACACCATCAGATAAAGCCCAACAAAGAGGGGATGAAGCCTCTCTCCAGATTCCACAGAGGAGGGGGATAAATGAGGGATGACACATACAGGTGATAGAAATCGAGACATACCTCCATCGGGTTTACTTGTAGTCAGTAACCTAGCACTTGAGGTACAACGCGCGTACATCAGTACCACAAGAACAGCATGTGGAAGGGTGAACAAAAATCTTGCGCAGTGACATAACAGTAGGCATTCCTTTACCTCTTCTAAGACGGAAAAAGAACTTAAGACTTCGAGGTCTCAACGTCTACACAGATTTCCAAAAATTAAAAACAAAAGCTACGAACATTTTTTTGTCAGAAATAATCTTGTGGTGGTGATGTTCCAAAAGTGAGTCACTGTGGGGTCATTTAAGAACACAATGAATTTGAAACTGAACAGACAACATGGAAACAGACAAGGACACTCATATAATTAGACATGTTAAAATAAAAGTAATATTACCTCATCAAAATTTGTCCTTAATTAACATAAAAACTGGACTAATTAACCCCTCATCCCTTCAAGCACAGATCTAGTTTCCAATGTTATCGTGGACAATCCAAACTAGCCTCATGGTAATTTTTGTTTGTTTGGCGCTTTCACTCGGAGCGCGGTTTATCTGCTGTTTTGACGAACCTACTTGCACGTCCCTCTGTAACTACATTAACCACTTCACTCCGAATTCGAGATTTCTATAACATGCAAATGAAGTAACATCAGGCCTTAACACCTGAGAAATTTACCTGTATGGGTCGCTATCAATATCATCGCTTAAATCCCATGTTGATTCATCATATTTAAATTTTTTTTTACGTCTGTCTATTTTTTAAATTTTAGAATTAAATGTCCTTTTACATGGCAGATTTCACGCGTGCACACTATCATGCATTGCAGCTATAGTCCCAGGGCTTTAATATCTTCCCGCCAGATTTCCCACACTGAATTTTGTTTTCATTGAAGGGGTCCAAGATTAAGAGGTAAAAACCCAGGAATCATTCCGAAATCACATTGCTATGCTGCAATATTGGGCGCGTTAATCCTCGATCAAACAGTTCAGACTAGTGCTGATATGGATTCAACATGCCATGGTGACCCAAAATTTCTCATTGTACGCTTACATGATAAATTCAAGGCCAGTACAAAAGCCATGATAAAAACACCTCGGAATTCAAAAGCTCGCGAACAGAATAGAACACCCTTTAAGGTAGCATCTCATTAATATACCCCTCGACTGCCGTTGGGTGAATAGTTATTAAATTCTCGACAAGAAGCCTAGCCAGGGCAGTGTAATTGTCCTTTATGTGCTGGGTATTCATCGAGCATTACCGTGCATTCATCCGGGCCCACATTAAAGGTGCACTTTTGTATGGGGGAAGACATATTGAGATTTGATATCTTGAAAAAAGCCATTTGATGAAAAGACATATTGATTTACAGGTTAGAAGGGCTACCAGTGATAAATTTTCAATAGGTGAAAATTAAAAGAGGTACACAACGCTATCTCGTTACCTTACGTAAACAAGTCTTTTTTTCCAGCACCTGCATCTCCCAATGAGAATCAAACAACCCGACCCTTATTACACAACGCGGGGTCCATTTTTACTCTCAAGACGCACAAACAAACTGTCATGGCCGCTCTCAGTAAGACGTGAGAGGGAGGACTTCCTATTCACTATGCACAGTTTTTGGTAGATTACGGGGTACTACTCCCTGACTCACTGTTCAAACACAATAAAAACCTCAGGTAAACATCTACTTGTCTGGTTATCAGCACTGGGCCGCAGATTACAGAGGATCCCCCCCTCTACATGTGGGGGCTCTCACCTTCTTATATCTAGCTGCTGCTTTATCATTTGACTTTTTATCAGGTGAAAGGTTAAGTACAAACTTGTGGTCAACTAATTACAATGGTCCACCTGAAGTGACCATGTGGGATGAAAATTGCACTTGCATTTTTAAATGTTTTAATTTTAAAAAAGTTTTATAAAAGGATTCACCAAAAATGAAACTTTGGATACAGTAGCCAGGTAGTGTTAGAAGAAATTGATTTCTTTTGAACATTTTCTGAAAATCACAGGAAGATCAATACATGGTTTTCCAAGGTAAATCAGGAATAATTTTAAAAGATGCACATGGATGACTTATTTTGTTTACATGGGACCCCACACATCCAAAACTATTACCGTTACATACCGTGCACACATATATAAGGATTATATATATAATATATATATATGCATCTCTGAGTTAAATTTAAAGCTATATTAAAAGCTTACCTTAGTTAAGTTTTTAAAAAAATCTCAATTTTCCCATGAAAAGATTGTTCGTGCGTGCTACCTGAAATCTTCCCAAGAATATGGCAATAACTTCCTGTGTAAGACAGTTGCTTAGATTTGCTTTCAAGGTGAATTTCCCTATTTGTTGTGGCATTATGTGCACCTTTAATAATATTAACCTATTTTTCTTTACAAAATCATCAGGAAGTTACCACTCAGGGAAGCTAGGTGCCTAGTTATCCTGTAATTTATTCTTTTACCCTAAATAAACAAGGGTATTTAAAAAGTGACATGTGATATTTTAATATCCTTTTTAAATGATAAAAACAAATTTTTTCCTTATGTTACAATGGTAAGATTAGAAGGTAATTCTAAATGATCCTTTATTTTTTTCCTCCTATTTCAAAAAAGAAAAAAAAAAAATGATAATAAAAAAATATAAATTAAAAAAAATTTTATTGTACCTTTGAACCGATTTAATCTTGGGGACTTGTTCTTTTTGATCTTTATTCAAATTCTTTTTTTTAATCCCCTCAAATTTTGAAGCTAGGAGAAAAAGAATGGAGAGTCGCCATGGACCTAATAGAATTATCTGCCCCTTGTAATCATAGAATAATGAAGTGACAATACTCCTGCTCTCAGTTTATTAACCAGCCTCATTAATGAACATAGCCTCTGGAGAAATGAAGACTGTCTACGATAATCTAATAATATCACATCAATGAATTTACCCTATTTAGGTCCCTTTTTCCGTGATTTGTATGCCGTTAATAACCCTGGTATAAACAGTATATTTTTTTTTAAAAGTCTGCTAGATTCTAAAAATGGCTTCTTAGTTAATATCAGAGTTTTATAAATATTTACACATATTTACATATTTTATTTGACAAAATAAAAAGCAGTTTTAATAATTTAGGGGGGGGGAATCACATTTTTTTTTTAAATGTCCAGTTTCGTTTCAGACTGTTTCTTAGAAAAGGAAACAACTTTTTTGTCCGATTTATTAAAATACTCCATACCAAGTTATAAATTGAATTCATAACTAAGTATGGAATATTTTAATTCAATTAGGCAAATGTACATGTACTGAATAAATTTGTACAATGTACTTTTACAAGATCACCACACTTTTTTTCTACGAATTTAAAAAACCACAAACAAGTTAAATATATGCAGAGGCACTGCATGTATAATTACACAATCCAGTTTTATATTCATGACTGAATTTCTATAAATCATTTACTGAAACCCCATGTAATGTATTCCGTACCGGCTGTAAAACTAAAACATATAAAACCTGTACGTATTACGCACTCTTGTAAAACAATGTCTGGTGACAGACGAGGGCCTTATCGCGAGAGAGAACCTGTTCAAACATTCCTAAATAGCGGCCCTATTTATCCTCCCTTCTTACCCCAGACAACCTCTTCCTGGAACACTTGGCCTTACTGTGAACTCATGCTGAGAGAGAGAGAGAGAGAGAGAGAGAGAGAGAGAGAGAGAGAGAGAGAGAACGGAAAAAATCACACCAAAGGATGGTCCGTACATGTAAATATTCTGAATAATATTTATTATTTTAAAATTAGCAATCAGAATTGCAAGTCTTTTTCTTAATTTTTAAAGAATTGGGAATTAAGAGTCCATCATAAAATTTTTTGTCTGAAAAACAAAATGACAGTTGAAAGAAAAGGTATGTTCACAGAACTTTCCCAAATTTTTTTTTTTTTAATTTGCATGATCCATTGATGGTAATTTTATTAAACTTTTTTTTTTCAAATAACTAATCTAAGACTGCCCTAGGCTTATGAAC